ATTGACTCAACTATTTTTGAGCGACTATTTGGCCATACAATGTTACTAAATCAATATTTTTCAATTATTCTAGTTCACTGTTATGTTTATGGTTAATATGAAGGGTGACTCAAAAGTCCGTTAACATTTGAAAATTAAATAACTCACGGCATGATGTTGGTAGAGAGGTAAAAAGTGGCATACATGTTTGAAAGGACATGGAGTTTTACTGAAAACAAAACAAAAGAAAAAAGGCCAACATATGGCGCTGGGCAGCAAAATGTCGGTGACAACGTATAAGAATCCTGCATGAAATGAACTCTATTGAAAGAGGGAATCAGTCCCTTCATGACTTGGTCCAATTTCTATCCTCTCGTCTGGGTGTTGGTCACGATATGATGTGGATTTATCATCATCACGTGGTGGATTTATCATCATCACGTGGTGGATTTATCATCACGATTGAGGTGGTACATCAAGGGTGATCGAACCCTTCTTTTTTCCGAGGAAATGCCTGTTCAAACTGTCAGTGTGATGAGTGAGTGTTACACTAATATGTTACATAATCGCATCATCCCTAGTCTGGCTGGTAAAGACCTGTACGAAGGTATGACATTTATACAGGATGAGGATCCATTCCATATTATGTGATCCACCCCATACACATGTGAAAGATCTCTCGCACATATCCTTTGGGGAGATTTGCGTGCTGAGCCGCCACTTCCGTCATGCTTGGTCTCTCAGGTCCCTCAATCCATGTAATTATAGGTTGTAGAGTTATCTAAAATCACAAGTCTGCCGCCCCAATGGGATGCTACAAGACAACAACTTCCGACGGCAATTTCTAACAGATATGCCGCACAGGGATGTTCACGACTTTATCCCTCGACTATACGTATTGCTTATGAATGACGGCTGACATGTTAAGCATTTATTATAAAGAACGCAGTCTTTGCTAGAAATCAGTTGTTATGCTAATTATTGCTTTTGTTATCATATGAAGCACCATCTGTTGGCAGTTTTAAGCATTTTTTGCTTTCAATAAAACCCCGTGACATTTCACGCGTGTGTGTCAGTTTTTACATCTCTACCTACGTTATTCAACGAATTATTGAATTTTGAAGTGTTAACGGACTTTTGGGTAACCCTGTATATAACATTTTATCCTCAGTCAAAAGCGTGTTTTTATCATCATTATTTTCTTTCCAGTAATAGATGATGTTTTTATTAATTTCGATAAAAGGTTTTTTTCAGTTTTTTTTTTTCATAAATTCCACGAAATAAGGAATTTTTATCACTTTTAAAGAGATTATATTTAAATGTTAAGTGCCAATCAATAAAAAATCTCATAAATTCAGAAATATAACAAACATTTTAAAAAAAGCCCTTCGAACGAGGTCGGTTACCTTAAAACTATTTTCTTTAAAAGAATTTCATTTGATAGAGAAAAACAAAAACAAGAAACATTAAAATATAATTTAATTCTTCTCAGCTCTCTTTCACTCTCTTTAATTAAGGTTGCACTTATCTCTGTTGCCATAAATAATACCCACATACTTCTCTTCGACAATATTCACCTATCATTAACAATACTCCGTATCATCAATAATGCCAATGATCTTGTCACAAAAATTATATTTAATTCCCTTGCCATTAATAACACCCACAGATATAACTTTGAGATAAAGCAGAGCTTTCAATTAAGCAGAGAAAACTGCTTAATTGAAAGTCATGAAAAATACAAAAGTTAAAACTAATGAATTATTTAGAAGGATTCTAATGAATTCCTTTCAAAAAATTATTTGTAAATCTTGCTTCCAATTTTTTTTTTTTTAATTTTTTTTTATTTTAATAATAGGTTATTTGTTAAGTGCAGACTCGGAATGCCTTTCACTATATAATTCAATTATTTAAAAAAAGATGACATTCAACCACAAACCAATTTCCATTTCAAAAATGGTTTTAAAATAATAATAATAATAAAAAGGTCTGAAGTCTTTCAGACTTTATATTATGCCCAAAGGGGCGTTTTTTTTTTTTTTTTTGAAGTTTTATATGTTATCTTTATTTATTAAATATCATGTTCTTCGCATTTGAACCATAAAATTCGGTTCAAGAACAAATATCACAAAATAATTTAAAAATAGCATATCTTTAAAATTTCCGATACACAGTCTCGTGCGCCAGAGATATTTTTTTTCTTACAGTGTTGTCATTGCTCGCTTTGATATGGTTAAATTGCTTAAACTCATAAATGCTTTACAAAATATGAAATAGATAATAAAACATATCCCAAATTTGGACTTCCAGCTGCCCATATTCGGGTAGAGACATACGTTATTCAAAATTTTATGGCTCTATGTGCTGTTGCTTTATCACAATGCGAGGAACATGCATACATTTATTCAGATTCCTCGTTGTTTAATTTCTTTAAATATAATTGTATGTTTCATTTGCTGTCTGTTCATCATCGCTGTAATTTTATATGATGTCAGCTTATCTCTTACTAGATGCATTAGATTCACAGCTTTAATGAAGATAATAATAACAGTTAATTAATTAGGAAAGGATGATAAAATGTAGTATTTATTTCAAATAAAACGTTGAATTTAGATGTTCAGTTTATTGAGATCTATAATTCGGACAAAAAGAAAAAAAATATTCCAAATGACTTCCAAAAAAGAGGAGCGATGTCGTATAATGTTTCGAAATGCATTTGAGCTATGTTGTTTCTAATATGCAAAATAAAAATCAACTTTCAGAAAGGAAAAGTTGATTTATTGAGATTAATTTCTTGATAAAGAGTGAGAAGCAGACAGGTAGAGAGATAGATCGACAGATTGACAGACAGATAGATAGAAAAAAATATAAAGGACATTTGATGTGAACTAATAGCAAGCAGTTATAGTCCTCGAATATTATATCTCTAGGACATAACACTAATTGATGGAAATCAAATACCATATAGATATTATCTGCAACAGACTGTAAGACTGGCGTCTTTCCACTTTCCCTTTAACCATAGATCCAACTCCTACCCACCATCGCAGAAAAACCCAAGCTTTTGCTATCCAACTTGTAAGAAATTTTTATGCTATGCTAATTATAATATGTAGTTATTTAGAGACGCCCTAAAATGTTGGGCACTAGTTGTATTTTTGTACTTTTGAATTCCTCTGACATATGCCATAATTTGCTGGTTATTCATGCACTTCAACAAAGCAGCACTGAAAACTTTAAATTTTTAGATACTCTCTTACTTACGTTAACAAATGGAAAATACAGTGGTTCTCTTCACCTAAAAACAAAGGATTTATGGAACTAATTAAAATCACAAATAAAATGAAATGTATGAACAACATTGATGTTAATCAGGTTTTAACTGGACATGGTAGGTTTCCGTTCTATTTCAACCGATTTAATCTGCAGGAAAATAAATTATGTAATAGTTGTCAGGTTGATGGTGATGCTAGGCATTTCATGGTTGATTTTAGTTTAACAGCCCTTATTAGACAGATTTTTAACATTACTGATTTTAATGTAAATGCCATTAATCTTAAAGTTTTTAAATCATATTCTATTGCTATAATGAAGTTTATCAATGAAAATAGGGCGCTAGTAGGAATCTTCTGTTAAAATTGAATTTTGTGTTTGTGTGGGTTTTGGATGTCTGTGGTGTTCTATGTTGTGAATTTGTGTTTATGGTTTTTTTTAGTCCAAAGGGATTTGAATCCCGAAGGACTATTAGTTTCGTTTTGGCATTTTGCGTCGGACTCATAAATGTCGGTTCACTTTTCAAACTGTTGTCACAAAATGTTAGAGTCCTGCATTATATTTGAAGAAATTAAATAATGAAAAATCTGCATAAATGTATGTATATTTCTCGTATTGTGATAAAACAACGGTACATAAGTCATCGAATTTTGAATAACGTAATCCTCCAACGAATATGAGCATGTGGAAGACCAAATTTGAAATTTGAAATTTGTTTTATGATCGATTTCCTATTTTTTAAAAACCTTTGACGAATTTTTGATTAACAAACTCAAGGATTTCAAAGCAAGCAATGGCACACGTTGTACGAAAAAAAAACATTTTTATCTCCCAACGCGTGAGTTTCTGTATCGGAAATTCTAAAGATATGCTCGTTTTTAAAACTATTTTGCGATATTGCTGTTGCACTGGATCTTATGGTTTAAGTGCGAGGAACATGATATTTAATAAGAAAGGTAACACACAAAATGTTAAAAAACGCCCCTTTGGACGTAATTTAAAATCTGAAACATTTCAGATTTTTTTTTTTTATTTATTAAATTTTCTTTATAATATGTAGTTATTTCGAGACGCCCTAAAATGTTGGGCACTAGATGTATTTTTGTACTCCCCGTAGTATGGTACTTTTGAATCCCTCTGGCATATGCCATAATTTGTTGGTTATTCATGCAATTCAACAAAGCACTGAAAACTTTCCATTGTTACTAGATACTCTCTTACATAATACACTAACCTTTTGAAGTACTCATCGATTTGTATAATCATAAACCTAATATATAATAGTAGCCGATCCAAACCTTGATCCCAATTTCCTTTTAGTTTACATATCATATTTATACATAATTTAGTATATTCCATTACTAAAAATCAATCTAAATTTTATTTTTGATTATATGTTTCGCATAGAAACGATATAAATTTATCTCAATTTTTATGCATTAAAGTGAAATTTGAATAATTATATTACACGCTTCCTTTCTTTATTTCCCCTCGGAAATATTCGAAAATTCTAAATTATTTTATACAGTTCTCCAAGGTTTTATATGTGTTTTGTTATTTCTTAAGGTAATGTGCTAAGTTATGCTATACCATGCTCAATATTAGAAAATAAATTATTGCTAGTCAAAATACAAAAAATGTCTAATTTTGGTTTTCATAAATCTCTTAGTGTAATCTTTTTTTCTGAAATTTGGGTAATGTTAAACTCTGAAAATCCTTGATGGGAAATTTCATAAAATAATCATAGATATTTTATAGAGAACATTTTTACTTGATATAAAAACACTTTTACATTCTTGTTGTTCACTTAAATTTGCAAAAATATACCACACCAAACTGAGCACATTTTTCAAGAGTATACGTTATATTTAATATGCAATATAGTAAGGATTCCCGTAGTAAGTCAAAGGATGTCCATAAACAACAGGTACAACATGCTTGGCTTCAGATGTAGTTACGTGAGCTGGATCTTTGTGATCTTTGTCCAGTTTATCTGATGTCTTGATATTGGCCTTGAATCCTTCGTGATCAGCTACATAGTCTACGACTCTGACTTTACCATCTGGATCCTTGACACCATAAGAACCAATTTTCTTTCCCGAGATATCTCCAGATTCGCTATGGAAGGATGGTCCTGAAGGATTGGCATCGTGGTGTCCAAATACATAGTTTCCAAGAGCCTAAAAAGAGGAAAGAAAAGAAAATTATTTTAAAACGTGATGTCAGTTTTTTTTAGTCCAAAGGGATTTCAGTCCCGAAGGACTATTACTTTCGTTTTGGCATTTTGCGTCGGACTCATAAACGTCGGTTCACTTTTCAAACTGTTGCCACAAAATGTTAGAGTCCTGCATTATATTTGAAGAAATTAAATATGAAAAATCTGCATAAATGATTGTCTAATTTCTCGCATTGTGATAAAACAATGGTACATAGAGCCATCGAATTTTGAATGACGAAATCCTACTGCGAATATGGGCATCTGAAATCCCAAATTTGGAATTTGTTTTTTATAGATTTATTTTATATTTTGTAAAACTTTAACGAATTTTTGATTTACAAACTCAATGCTTTAAAAGCGAGAAATGGCAAAGTTATATAGAAAAAAAATACTTTTATCTCCAGCTCGCGAGACTGTGTATATCGGAAATTCTAAAGATATGCTTAATTTAACATTATTTTGCGATATTGCTCTTGAACTGAATTTTATGGTTTAAGTGCAAAGAACATGATATTTAATAAATAAAGGTAACACTCAAAACGTTAAAAAAAACGCCCCTTTGGACGTAATTTAAAATCTGAAAAATTTGAGATTTTTTTTTTTTTTTTTTTTTTTTTTTTAAACATACAAACCTTCCGTGCACCACAGATGTGCAACACGGGGCTTACAGAAGTAAATTAACTAAAACATTAAAAGTTGCATGCATAAATAAAACGAACAAAAGCAGAGAACAGCAGTCCGGACTTCACGAAAACAGATAAGTTCACTGGCCAAGTCACTCCAAACATTTTCAAATCGTTCTGCAAGCATAATCTAGGCCCATCAAATATGGGGTATGAGAAAATTAAATATTCCACATCCTCAGGTAGTCGTTTTGGACATTCACATAAATTGCTACATTTATTCAGATCCTTTATTATTGAATTTCTTTAAATATAATACAAGGCGATAATATTTGGTAGCAACAATTTGAAAAGGGATTCAAACTTTTATAGTGGTTCAACGCAAAATCCCGTTTTGAGACTACTGGACTAACGCTCTTTTGGGCTAGTAAATTCAATGCTATTGCTAGCCTTCATTTACCTTTATATTACCATTACATCCAAAAATAATTTGAAGGTTTCTCAGAGAAAAAACTCTCTTTTTCATATTATTAGTCGGAAAGTCTGCGACAATCTGATCTAATTTAAAACTGTGTTACCTTAAAATCGCTTTCCTTTACTATTTAGCATATTTATCTTTTGTTGAAATAGGTAAATGTCTAGAAATTATTAAGTTTTTTCGGAACAAGAGAACGTGAGAAATCAGCTCAGCTATCGCCGAAATTCACACCATATATTTTTCCCGAGCATCCATTATTATTTGGATTAATATTATCATCCATTATACTTATATCCATTATTATCCATTATCCATGTGCTTCACGCATGCATAATTCCTTACAAATAAATTGTGTAAATCAATCAACTTTATACACCTTTCGTGCAACTTAATGCAATTAAACGGATTGTTTCCACCAGCGAAACCCCCATGTTAGGCAGGGGGAGGTCGCAGTCATCTGATCAGAAATGAACATTCTCTTTCGGACTGGAGATCTGGGTGACAAAGTCCAATTCTTAGCCTAAACCCGATTAATCAAAAATTCCGCTTAAGAGATTTACTCGATTCTAATTTTATGGAGATCCAGGCCCCGAATCCGGATCTTAGCCTCATACTTAAAATGACTCCAAAAACTCCCACCGATGAGCCACGCCCGAGGAGTCCCCACCCCCTGTTCTTGGCTTTTGATGAGCGGCGTGACCTGCATGCCAGAAGATCTGACTGGTCGTCAAAATGCTCCCTCCAGTACTTCCCACTCGGGGGTCGACGTAGAGAATTCTGCGAAGCTACTGGCTAGGATCTGTACCTAGGCAGTCTCGGCCACGAGGGTATAAAATTTCTGAACTTGGTGGTTCTGAAGGCTCTGGGAAAGGTCAGTTATTGGCCGGCCTCGGAGTCTGGCATGCCCTGAGCGGTTGGATTCGTAGCCGAGGGTTTATCCCCCGGTTTGGCTGGGTAACGTCCCTCTGCGACGGGCTCGCCGATGCGACTGGCAGGAGCAATTGACGACCAGGGCTGCCTTGTGTCATATCCTGGTGGTGCGCCGCTCCCCTAGAAGGGTAACAGTGAAGGTTGAACATCCACGAAGTGCCCAAACTAGGAGTGGACCTGTATTGTGCTTAGTTCACGGGTCAGGGCACCCAAGATTTATCTTATCTTATCCCTCCAGTACTACGCGGGCTGCCCGTTACATCAGGACTTTACCCAGCAAATTCGGTGCCGTCACACACTGAGCTAGAGAACTATCAGTTCTAAGTCTTACCCCAATCCCCAAAGGTCAAACCATATAGAAGTTTCAACCCGAGTTCTGGAACCACCAGGTTCATCAATTGTATACCACCGGACCGAGACTGCCTAGGTAGAGATCCTAGCCAGTAGCTTCACGGAGTTCTCTACGTCTAGGGAATAAACTATGTAAAGACTTGATTTGGAGATAAAGAACGGAATTTATATCCATCCCCGAAATTTCGCCTTTAAACTGTTATCCTTTAGACTGACAACATCAGCAAAAGGTTTATTAATTTTTTTTAATATTTACAGTAAAATCTAGAATGAGTTATGGAAAAATTTTATTTTAAAAAAAGGGCTTTTTTTAAACTTTTAAATGACAGCAAAATAATTCTTAGAACTTCAAATGGAGTTAAATATTTTATTAATCTTTAAAGACTACTTCAAAGCTATCAAAAGGTCTTTATTCTTTAAACAGGATGTAAAAGATTATGCATCTGATTTTTCTGAAATAATTATGGTGTTCTCAGAATTTTGTGAAATCAACTTCAAGGGAAAATAACTAAATGCAGCTGAAAATGCGACCTCTCGTCTAAGCCATATCAGAATTATAAAGTTTTAATGCTTATAACTGCTCAAAGCTGCATGATGCAGTACAGAAATGCAACTTCGCCATTCTGTCAAGGCAGAAAAATATGGTTAATTGATGTTTCCAAATATAATGTTTCTTTTATTACCATTGTACGGATAATTTCATTATAATTAAAGCTTTCGCTTCAATATTTTTAAGGTTGCACCCTCTGGTTTCTTTAAGCATTTTTGTTTAGAAAAATGTACAATATCTAATTTCTTTACTTGCACTAGAGAAAGGGAGGGAATAGTCTAACGTCTCAACCAAACCCAGTCATTTCCGACAAAAGGTGAAATATGTTTCTTCGGGAATTCCACTGAACGAGCAAAAACAAAGGAATTGCCAAATCCGTAAATAAGACTAATGGTTTTCTTCTTTTTTGCTGCAACGTCAAATTTTGAAGACAAGCATTTTTTGATTTACGACTCACAGAGTATCTGTCGCGTAGTTTTATGCATAGACAACTTCAAAGAAAAGTCTGTAGTAAATATGTGATAAGCAAAAAGTGATTAGTATAATTTGGGAACTTAGATAGAGTATTCTTTTAATGTCCCTCCATGGTCGTTATTTTTTACAAAAAAATAGCGTATTCTTTTAATGTCCCTCAATGGTAGCAAAATTATACAGGCATTCCCCATTTTGCTGCTTTTATACCCTTTTATTACTGGCATTTACAATGCATTGAATTTGAAAATGCAAAAATAATATGCTTTACAAATAATATATAAAAATAAAAGAAATATGCTTTATTTATTAAATATCATGTTCTTCGTGAAGATTCAGATTCTTTCGGATTTTTTTTTTTATTATTATCATTTTGTTTTATTTTGAGATCCCTTATTTCATCAGTTCGAGAAATTGTTTTTAATTTTACATTAACTGTATGGGCTATAATAGAATCTCAGTGTTTCCTCTGCAAATTGGATGCATAGTTACAGTAAATACCAGATATATAAACGATATATTGGCTAATAATGAACTGACTACTCTCATTTTCTATTCTTATTATTTTAACTGTATATTTTTTCTCCCTTCTTTTATATTTTACGAGAGATTTCCGCCAAAGAAGTTGTTCTCTTTACAGTTTATTACGCGATATTCCGTCGTTCCTCTTCTGCTTTTACCAGCGGCCGAGCGGTTAAGTCGCTGAACACTGGTAGTTCGGTCCGAGGTTCGAATCCCGCGAACGGGCTGGCTGCATGGGCGTTTTCGTGGTTTTCCCCATGTGTAACGTGTATACGAGCCAGTTTTCCTTAGAAAGTCATCCACGAAGGCATCCCTCCCCTTAGGCAGCTAGCCCTAGTGTGCTTTGCCATAATTAAATACACCAACACCTTCTCTGCTTTAAAACTGTGGAAAGAATATTAGAACTATAATTTCTGAATCAAATTTATTTAACATTTGTTCATTTAGACAAAGAAATTACAATCAGGTAAAATAAAACCTCCTATGTTATTCAAATTTGGATAGCTCTAAATACCGTTATTTATTTACAGAGCGAGAAATATGCACACATTCATGCATATTCTTCATTATTCAGTTTCTTTAAATACGATATAAGGCGATAATTTTTGATAACAACAAATTTGAAAAGTGATACACCGTTTATAGTGATTCAAAGCAAAATGCCTTTTTAAGGACTAATACCCCATTCGTAAATATCGTCCCTTTTGGGCTAACAAGAAGAAAAATGCTAATAAGGCGAATTTTTTTTGGAAAATAAGTTTGAAACAAAATTTAAAAATTGTAATATATTACATGACAGTTCTTTTTTTTAATTTTTCCAAGTGACGTTGCAAGTGCAATTGTTTTGTAGTTACGCATCATATATTATTAAAATAAACCTATTAGCAGCGACAATGAAATAATAAATGAATAGTGAAACATTATATTTGCAATTTCCCATAAAATGTATATTATCCTGCTGACCTCTAATTAGTTGAAACCAAATGAAAAATATTTTCTAGATCAATAGAAGTCAGTTTCCCGACTGCTAAGCTTTT